ACACATAACTAAGAATTATATACATATATATATTCTTTATATACAATAAGTTAGTTTTTGTTTGACATGAAAAAAAATTTCAATTCCTGATTTTAATCTTAATGTTTAATCTCAAAGTTGTAAAGACAATGTATAATATATGTACTAAAAAATAAAAAATTTTAAACATAAAAGCAAACATTTCATATTTTCTTAGGCTTGGAAAGTATAGGCATTTAACTAGATGTTGGAAATCAAAGAATTTTACAAATAAAATGTATTATATGGCACATTAATTAGTTATCTAAATTTTCTGATGGAAAGAGATAGGAGATTGATAACTCAATAAGTGATTTTTCTGTCTAAGCTAATATGGACAACACAAGAAAAATGTTTCTACATTTACTTATCTAAAAATTATCATTCTAAAATTCTTTGTCATGTTTGCTCCAATAAAGCAATAAATAATTTTCTATTACAAAAAAAGTATGTTTTTATATTGAATCTGTTCTCCAATATTAAAAATGTAGTTAAGTTTTATTTTTCAGAGTTTGTTTTCCAGAAATTAAATATTTTCAATATAATTTCACAATCTGTTTTTCTACATAAGCATGGTAAACTTTAGGGGAAAAAAATTCTGAAGATTTAACACATTCTACATATATTTAAATTCACTTTATTTCAAAAATCATTTTGTAACTTTTTTGCTTTTCATATATTAATTAGATGTAGATACAGTCAACCACTCTAACCTCCAAAAAACCAAAAACGGTGTGTTTCCTCAAATAAAAAAATTGTCACAAATGTTTTCAAACAAAGTTCTTCCTCAGGTGAGAAACGGACCAAAATTTGATGGAACACTTTCTGAAAGAGCTCTGTAAAAAACAATTTGAAAGAAACCTTGTGCGAGTGACGACATTGTTGCGCATGCGCCTTCCTCAGAAGTAGCAATTTCTCTGTATTAACATCCATCGTATATAAACGCTTGCCATGCTACGGATAAGAAAAACTCTTCCTTACTGTTAATACACTTATTATCTTCGGCAGTTTTGTATATATAAATTGCCTCCATCCATCTCAAATGCTCCATATACTGCATGGTGCAACCACTCTTAAAATGAACTCCAATAAAACAAATTCTTGCAATAAAGTAAATTTTGCCATTATCACGATGTTACTTCTCACATGATAAAATGAATAAAAATTATAAATTATAAAAAAAACTATAAATTACCTTCACAACTCCAAAGAAATAAACCTTATTTCCAAATGTGGTTATTTTACACTTTTTGATGTGAACAATAACATTTGGAAGTGTAATAAATGTTCCATTTTGAGTAGAATAGATTTTCTTCTACAGCCAGTGAAGCAAAAGAGTAGACATAAGTTGGTCTGAGTGAAAAGTGACTATTAGATGAAAGTGTGGAA